GCTATTTTTCTGAGCTGCTTGCTGGGGCTATTTTTGTCTTTTGTTAGGGGTTTTGACTGAGTTTTTGAGTGGGTATAAATACCCTATTGATGTTCTCTTTCAACTTAACCAAGAGAATTGTTTAAACAAGTTTAAGGGTATTTTGTGTTTGTTTAAAAGAGTGTTTAAGAGTTTTGTTTGTGAAGCAAATTTCACAAGAGCAAGTGGAGATCATCCTTTGGTGTTTGAGCACTCACTCTTCTCCCACTCTCTTATCATCTTTAGAGAAGTGTTTCTAAACTCATCTAGCAATTTATTATTTTGATTATAATTTCCATAAGTTAGATTTATATTGAGTTTAGTTTAATTGATTTTATTTATCTCTTTGTACACACACAACCATTGAGCTTATTGTATTTACATTCATAGTATAATTGGGTTGTGGGATTGTGTAACTTAGAGAGTGAGCTTATAATTTGTTCTCATTCATTGTAGAGAACAAACACTTTGTATTGAGCCTAATTGTGAGGATTCACTTGTAATACACTTGTACACCGAGAGAAGTGTGTGATGAGAGACGGGGTCGAATCCAAGAGGAGTGGCGTCGGTTGACGTGCCTAGGGAGAGGTTGTAACCGAGCACTTGAGGAGGAGGACACGGGCTAGGACCAACACTTAGTGTGTGAGGTGTGATTGCATAGTGATTGTATTGTGAGGTGTAAACGTTGTTCGGGTGAACGTAGAAAACCCGGTTGTGATAGTGGAGATCTCCTCGAGGTGAGGAGCGGAGACGTAGGTCGTGGGGACCGAACTCCGTAATCATATTGTTTGTTTGTGATTGCATTGGCGCACTTACTTTTATGTTCATATCTTATATCGCCTTTGTATATTGCTTGTTGATTATATTGCCCACTATCTAGTTTAGATTGTTTACCCTTGAGTTTATATATCCTTGCACATACATTGCCTATATCTCTTTGTTAGGATATATCTTGTTGTTCATATTGCTTATCCTAGCTCATATACATTGTTGTATTTCATACTTGCTAGGATAACTTATTAATTAAGTTTTAATTGGCATAAAATCGGATTAGATTAGCATAAGACCCTAATCACCCCCCCTCTAGGGTCTAACAATTGGTATCAGAGCTTGGTGCTCTTTGATTTAAGGTCTAATCGCCTTGAGTTAAAGATCCAAGTTAGCTTATTGTGCCAATCTAATTTTGAGCTTTATTTGTATCTTGCTTGCCTTTTATATTATGGATATGCATGGTTTAGGTTATGCCATTAATATTGCTCCTAGATTAGATAATTTCCCCTATGCCCAATGGTGTGTTAGATTTAAACTTTTTGTTCAATCTAAACACTTTGATTTATGGGAAATTATAGATGATGCTTATATTGTGCCCACTTTGGAGAAATCCAAGTGGAATAAAAATGATCATCGCATGTTTACTATGAACAACATTTTGTTAGAATATTTGCTAAATGCTTTTAATTCATCTATGTCTAACAAGTTTGTTCATTTTGATAGTGCTTACAAAGTTTGGAAATTTATAGAAGCACATCAAGGGGACTTGGAAGCGATCCAACAAGCTTTCCAAGTCATGCTCATTGAAGACCTTCATCAAGCTTGGGTAATCTAGTTTAGATTTTATATTATGTGTGTTAGATACTCTAAGCTCAATATAATATACACACACATTTTATTGGTTTCTTCGTATATATATATAGTTATATATATACATAAGTTTTGGTTTCTATGCATATATATAGTTATATATATACATACATATGTTTTGAGTTTTTATGGTTATATATATGAAATTATATATTTCATATTTTCTATTGTGTTTTTGAAAACATTGCATAGAATATGTAATTTTGTGAAAATATTGTATTCTTAGTTTGTAGACTTCAATATCAGTTTATACATGTTTTACTAAGTCTATAAAAACATTTCACAAAGTTTCAAAAGTTGGTTTATGTCAAAACATCAAAATTCAAGTATCTCATATTTTCATGTTTTGGACTAGTTTGTAAAATGATGATATTTTTCATTTGGGAAGTCCTTTTTGATAACCAGTCATTGTAGCATGTTTAATATCATGTCTACAATCATTTTCCAAAGTTTTACATTTTTTGGAATTTATTTGATATTTTTAAACAGGGTTTTAAAATCAGCTCTAAAACCGATTTTTCTAGAATGTCAGTTTTCGGTCGACCGGTACGGTCGACCGGTCAATTGACCATTCGTCAGTATTTTTCCAGAGAGTCGTCGGTCGACCGGTCCGGTCGACCGAGAGCTCAAATCGGTCGACCGACAGAATTTCCGGTCGACCGACGTTAGTCCAGAAAGTTTTCTTCGTGTTTTTGCTCTCATCGGTCGACCGACGGAATTTTCGGTCGACCGACAATAGAGCCGTTGGTTCTAACGGCTATTTCTGAGCTGACTTTTCTGGGGCTTTTTGGTCTTTCTGTTTTGGGGTTTTTGCTGAGATTTCTAGTGGGTATATATACCCCATTGCTGATGTCTTTTCAAATGGATTTTTTTTCAAGAGAGTTTTTATTAAGAAGTTTTTAAACAAGTTTTAAACAAGGGTTTAAGTGTGTTTAAGGGTTTGTTTTGTTTGTGAAGAAGTTTTCACAAGTGGAGGAGATCATCTTCTTGTTTGGGCTCCAATCTCCATCTCTCCATCTTGTCTTCCATTGAGAAGTTTTCTAAACTCTACTCTAGCTTTCATTTGTTATTTGTCAATTATCATTTCTATTAAAGCTAGTTTTATATTGAGTTTAGTTGATTTGATTTTATCTCATTGTTACACACACCCACTTGAGCTTATTGTATTTGCATACATAGTATATTAGGGTTGTGAGAGATTGTAACATTGAGTTGTGCTTAATTGTGTTCTCATCTATTGTAGAGAACAAATTTATATTTGTTACATTGTGAGTGTTGTAAGGTTTTCGGTGAGCTAGAAAACCGAGTGTGTTGTGAAGTTTTCGGTGAACTAGAAAACCGAGTGTGAGGAGTGAACGTTGTTCGGTGAGCGTTGAAAACCGACATAGTGTGGTTGTAAACGTTATTCGGGTGAGCGTAGAAAACCCGGTTGTGATAGTGGATTTCTCCCCGGGAGTGGGGAGCGGAGACGTAGGACGGAAGGTCCGAACTCCGTGATCATATTGCTTGTTTGAGTGTGCTTTGGCGTTCATTCATATTTATGTTCATATCTTATATCGCCATTGTAATTAGCTCATTATCTATATCATCCACTATCTTGTTTAGATTGTTTACCCCTTGTATTAGTTTATATATCCTTGCATATATATTTCATCATATAGGATATATCTTATTGTTTACATTGCTTATCCTAGCTTACAAATATTGTTGTATTTCATACTTGCTAGGATAACTTATTAATTAATTTTAATTGGCATTTAATCGGATTAGATTAGCATAAGACCCTAATCACCCCCCCTCTAGGGTCTAACAATTGGTATCAGAGCTTGGTGCTCTTTGATTTAAGGTCTAATCGCCTTGAGTTAAAGATCCAAGTTATCTTTTTATGCTAATCTTATTTTGATTGCATTTGTCTTGCTTGCACTCTTATATAGTTATCCGGCCCTGGGGTAAGCCCACCAAGCCCCGCGACTGGGGCAACCCATCCCTCCAGCTCTTTCACCCCTCAAACTGTAATTATCTTTGATTTTTAAAGTGGACTTTGTAAGAGGACCTTTATGCAAAAATTGTTAGGGGTTCTATTTGTAAAAGAACTCTAATGAATACCCAAAACCCTACCCAATTCCTTTATTTCCGTCAACATTTCCTCTCCTCCTTCCCGTCTCTGTTCCGCTCACAAAAAAAAAATAAAAAAAAAGAAAGAGAGAAAACCGCTCCTCTTCTCCTTCCCGAGCCTCCGACGGTCTGACCTTACTCTGCTCCCATCGAACCCATCCTTCAGGCTTCACCTCGTTGACTCCTCCAACCCAATTAGGTAAAAAATTTTAACTAAATAATTTTAGGGTTTTTTGGACAGAAATTTGGGATTTTGATGTTTTGCAATGAAATTAAGATTTCTGATTTTGAATCTTGGCTGAATCTTAGTTGTTGAATAATTGAATTAGGGGTTATGATGTTTTAGAATGAGTTGCTTATCGAATTTTGTAAACTATCACAGTAATGGTGCCTCGACGGAGAAAAGTTTTTCCAAGTTAAAATTGATAAAAAATTATCTTCGCACTGCCATGTCACAGGAACGATTGAATGGATTCGCAATGATATCAATTGAAAATGAATACTTGGAGAAACTTGAGTGTGATTACTTAATTAAAGAATTCGCTTTAAAAAATTCAAGGAGAAGTATTTTTATTTGAATTAAATTATAGCACAAATGTAATATCTTCTTATATGAATATTGATTTTGCATGAGAATATTATCGGTTTGAGCTCAATATAGAACGCTAAATTGTATTATATGTATTCATTTTTATCGTTATTGTTCGTACCAATTTTTTAATATAAGTGACAACCAAAATTGGATTGGGATAAGACAACTCAAAGCTCGGAGCTGGCCCTGTATATATCATTAATTACTCTAAAATTTTAAGTGGTACAAGTTAAAATCCCACTGTCATATCGTGTCTTACAGCTCGGACCCAATGCAATCTCCCGAGAAAACCCACCTTAGATTTTCCGAATCTGTACCAAAAACGATCCGCGGTACAGTTACTCGCGAAGCATCCTAAGCTTTCTTTCACCTAGTCTACCCCTTCTGAGTTCTCTCTCCCTGTTATCCTTCTCCGCGAGTTATTATAACTCGCAGCAATTTTTACTAACTTATTATTAGACTAGTAAAGTAGATAGAATATTATAATTGATGGAGAGGGTTGGCAATGTCAGAGATTTAAATAAAAATCCAAAGCTTAATCCAAGTTACAACCCATTAAAAATATTCAATAAAAAAATCAAATTTTTTCCATAAAAAATGAGTAGTTTATTAGAGTGTGTTTAGTTTTACTTTGCACAGTTTTTAGAGCGGTGCTAATCATTCAATCACCTCTCTCTCCCTCTCTCTCTCTTCTCTCTTCATGTAATAAATTGAACAGTTTGGGAACAGCCCAGATTGGATAAAGTTGGTATTTTTCCTTCGTTTCGATCAGGAAAAAAGAAGAGCAAAAAAAAAAAATTCTCCATTGATCAAAAGAGGGAAGAATCACATCCGGGTATCTCCCATTTTCAATCCCCCTTTTGATTCTCTCGTTGCCTTGTCTCTTCATTTTGAGTTCTTCAATTTGATCTGTGAAAGTTGCTGATATATGGGAAATTGATGGATTGTTATATCGACTGAAGTTGTGGTTTTGTGTCCTTTTGAGGATTCTCTTGTGAGATTTGGTCAATTGGGGGAGGAGGTTTTGGGAGTGGTTTGAGTCCCTCTTTTTTTTTTTACTTTTATTTCAGTCTGTTCTAATTAGGTACTCGCGGTTATTTGTTTTTACAGATAGATTTTGTTTTCAAGAATCTATTTGATCTTACACTATAAGTTGCTATATCTCCTACTTGTTGTGCAACCTAATATTTTTGTTCAATTATTGAGGCCAGTCCTTGGTTGCCAGAATCAAAGTGACCCATTTGAGGAAATCTTGTTAGATTTCACTTGTGAGTGTTGAGGTTTACACTTGAGCTGTATAGAAAGATGAGCAGGGATCATTTGAACCACCAAAATTCTCCTAGTGACTCTGCAAATTGGCAATATGGTAACTCATCAATGAATATGCCATTACCCAATTCTTCTCTTCCCATGTATCAAGGGATTCAAATGGCTCCATCTTCTTCATGCCCTCAAGTTTCAATGGCTGAATCCTTTTATCCTAATCCTTGGAATAATCCCAACAATAGTGTGCCCATCGGAAAACCCATTCCTTTATCTCAAAGGCTTGATATGGGTATGTTTTTACCAGCAAATCCGGGAGTTCTTCATCCTAGTCTATCGGATTTCCCCTCCGATTCCTCTTTCATCGAGCGTGCTGCCAAGTTCTCGAGCTTCAGTGCCGGTAATTTCAGTGCCTTAGTGAATCCGCAGACTTCAATTGATCATGGATCTAGATGTGAGAGTCCGGTGAATAATCAAAGAGATAATGGAAGTGGACGAGAAGAGACCTCGGCTAATGTATCCGAGGATTCTTCTTCGAAAGGGCTCAATGTTAAGAAAAGGAAGAAAAATAGTCAGGTAGAATTTAGTTGGTTTTCTCAAGTTTCATGCTTTGTTCTACTTTCTAATTTATCTTCATATGGCAGGATATGGAATTAGACCAAGCACAAGAAAACCCAAAGGAAAATGTGGAAAATAAGCAGAATGTTGAATGCAGCAGCTCAACTCCAGCTACAGGGAAATCCAAGGGAAAGGATGCAAAGGATAGCACTGATGGAGCTAAGCAAGATTATATCCATGTGAGAGCACGTCGAGGGCAGGCAACAAATAGCCATAGTCTTGCAGAGAGAGTATGTACAGAAGCAGTAGATGAAAACTTGCGAAATTTTTGGAGGATAATTTGATTTTAAGTGGTTTATTTGTTCTTGCAGGTTAGGAGGGAAAGGATTAGTGAACGAATGAAGTATCTACAAGACCTTGTGCCTGGCTGTAGTAAAGTAGGCTGATCTGTAAAAAATTTCAAATAAATTTGATGTACTTTGTGATTTATGCTTCAAACAATTTCATTTTTTTTAATGGCAGGTTACAGGAAAGGCGGTTATGCTGGATGAAATCATCAATTATGTTCAATCACTACAACGGCAGGTCGAGGTATTGCTTCTTGCTGATCATGACTTTAAGCTTCATATTTCTAGGAAATAAGTACGCATCATAGTGGTAGTCTAATTCAATTTTTTTTGTCTCATCAACAGTTCTTGTCTATGAAGCTTGCTGCTGTTAATCCAAGTATCAACTTAAATATAGAAGCGCTTCTATCTAAAGATGTGAGTTGCATCTTTATTTCAAAAAAGGTTTAAATGGTTAGGAAATGAACGTTATGAATATATGTAGCCTAAGTAAATAAGCTATTATGAACATGGTTATTTCTAACAGATTTTTGTTTCTTTGTTTTTGTTACTCTATAATAGACATTGATATGATTTTCCGAGTTCATCCTTTGTAACAGATTGCACAGACCCGGGCTGGTCAATCTCCAATGGGTTTCTCGACTGATCTTATTCACCCTCAATTTCTTCAATCTCAACCGGGTTCGGCTCAAGCTGGAATTCACAGCATGATGAATCATGCAGATGCACTCAGAAGGACACTAAACGCTCAATTTTCAGCTTTGAGTGCCTTCAAAGAGCCCACACCTCAGGTTCTCCTCTATACTTGCAGCTTCTTTCTTTGCCAACACAGAGAATCAAAGATCTACCTTTTCTTATACCAATCTCAAGGACTTTAAGTAACTATTTTTGCTAGACTTTGATATGTTGAAGTGAGTTTATATGAAAATTGAGGAATTGTTTTAGTATCTGGGGCCTAACAAACAAATAGTTGGTAATTTCTCAGTTGACAATCATACACATCAAAGAGTCATCCTTGTGAAATTTGTACTAGAAATACGCCATTGTTCTCTCTTTTTGTGGAGAAGATAGCATTGGTCTATCTATATCTGTTGAGAAATGGTATAGAGTTGAACTATAGGCTTAATTGGGGATAGATCCCTGTACCATTGCCCAATTACAGATAGAACCCATGTATTACTATTGTTGCAGATAGAGCTCCTGAGTGATTTTTTTTTGTGTGACTATTTTACCCTCAGAAGGTCTAGTTGTCAAAAGAAAATCTGTCTCCAAGTGTACAAAAAGGAATAAAAAGTTCATTAAGGGGGTCTATCTGCAATTGAGATATAGCACAGGTGGTCTAACCACAATTAACCTTGAATTATATTCCTTAAATGTATATGCTTGGCCATAAAATTAGTGAAGCACCAAACTGTTTGATTATACTTTAATGTTTGAAACCTTGGTTGGTTTGGCTTCTGTTTACTTGAACTTTGGATGAATTTCTAGTGACATTCTTATGATCAGCAATCAGTTAAATCTTAAATGCCATTAGCACAGAGGTTCAGTACCTTGTCTGACTCAGTTAAAGCCATTTGTTTGCTTACTGCTCTTCATTCTATTTCTCCTGATTTTATTTACGTTCCAGTGCCATTTTTATATATTCATACACCTATGAGGCAAATCTTTTGCTCTCTCTATAACTTCAGTCTTCTTGAAGTAAAATTCTGATAGCTCATTGGTCACTTTCATCTCCAAATAAATATAAATAAGTTTCTTGTTAAAGCCGTTAATATGCTTCAATGCCGTTCAAAATCATGCAATGTGGCCCCTGAGACTGTTTATTCACCCTTTCCAGCCCCTCACAATCTTGCACTGCACGAATTTTGCTTCATCTTTCTCCTCACCTAAAACGTCAGTACTGTGTGTTGGAAATTGTCCTGTATTTTGGACTTACGACGTAATATTGGAAAGCGATCGTTATAGAGTGATTTGGACCTGTGAAACTGGAAGCGGTCAGTATAGAGTAATTTGGATCTAAATTATCTTTGGAGACAAATTTGTGGTAACGCTCACAGATATTAAAGGCAAGTAGCGTCTTAAAAACGGAGAGATCAAATTCTTTTGTTCACGTGCCCAAACTTGAAACTTTACATCCTGAGTCCATTATAAGCAGCCCCAACTTCCAACAGTATTTGGCTGGCATAATGCTTTCAAATGTCCTTTTTTTCCGTCTTTTTTTGAGTTTCTCTTTCAAATGTCCTTAGTTGCAGAAAACATGTTACACATGCATGCATTTGACTCTATATTTGAGTTCATCTACAGATGTCGAATCCGTGGGACGCTGAGCTCCAAAGCATGGTTCAGATGAATTTTGGCAACAACCCTGCCCCCAGCACCCAGGAGTTCAATGGCAAGCCACATGATGGATTCCAGCTATAAATTTGATCACCACTCATATGTTGAGCTTTAAAGATTATTACATGGTTGGCAATAAGCTCCCCATTCTGGATTCAGGTTACTCCTAGAAGAAGCTGCCAAAGGTTATACGTAGAAACGAAGATATGTATAAAGTTCGTATATGAATTACATAAGAGAGTTTTAAATGCGTTTCTTTGGAGTTGTCTCGGAGATTTCTTTCTTGTTGTAAATTTATGTAAAAGCATATCTTTTTTTTTTTTTGCTGTGGAAGAATGAACTACACCGTTATGAGAGATATCAGACGGCTGGAAAATGTAGTATTTTGCTTTTAACCCGCGGAAGAGCACTTGGTTTTCTTTATTCTTTTCTCGTTCATATTGACAATAATGTAATGGAGGTTTTTCGTTCATTCGTTTGTGTTCGCTCTATCTGATCTTTTCTGCTTCCACTGCAAAACGAGCTATTGGATATTGTATGCGTGTAAGGGGTATAAAATTATAACCCTCACCGCAACAACTTTAAAGTTTTGATGCGGTGGTAGGAACTGCAAATTTAAAGCGGATGTAAAATAAATACGGTGCTCCGTCCGTGAGTCCAGTTTCAACTCATGAAAAGGGCTCTCCAGCCTGTTTGGGGGTATGTTATAATGTAAAACTGTAACCCACACCACAACTTCATAATTTTGGTACAGTGGCGAGGGCCCTTGATAATAAAATTTATCCTCTTAGCGTTTGGGCGATATGCCCATCTTTTCTGAGAGCGGAGCAGAGCAAAGCAACTTTTTGTCCAAATCTCATGGCAATATTTATAAGGAAATTATTGATGCGGATGTCTGCAATCTTCAATGGGAAGTAGTAGGCCTGAGGAGCTTCATTGTCGACGGATAATGTGGACCAATCATGATCCGACCGAGATCCAGTTTTAGCTGTTCTTGGACCACATCGGCATGCTTAATGGTCCCCTAGAGCTTTTCTATAGAGATTATTAACACTAATCAACCCACTCTTACCACCTAATAAAAATTCCATATGTGCATTTAACCTTTTGTGTTGAAGTTAATCAAGCGATGGCACCTCTCTTAAGTCATGAGAAATTTTATCCACAACAAATGTTAGATGCATTAACCACCATCCACATGTTATTCTAATCTTAGATGCATTAACCACGCGGTAAACATGAAAACTATTGGGTAATTTTTAATAATGTTAAATGCGAGTGCATACCTTATACTACAGGAGACAGACACTTGTTATTCCTAAGCTTTTCATTAGCGCGCGGTTAAGGCTCTAATGTCTCCGTTATATGTATATGTTACGTGTATTTATATGATATCAATGTGTTAAAAAGAGATCGCTTGTTATTTCAATGTGTTGCCGACATAACTCAAATTCGCTAAATAGGAGTTGAAAATACGTTGTCGATAACAACGAAAAGGATAACTCTGTCTAGACATCAGAGTTCGGATAGTGGTACTAAATGGTTTTTCTTGGAGGTGTGTCTGCAGTTAACCATTTTTCTTAATCCCCACGGTGCAGTAACACGAGTAAACTACCAAATGACCATCAAATATCCCACAGTTTCTATCCAAGGACGTGTCATGATTTGTGCCTGACTGTCAAGAATGGATCTTTAATACATCCATCATGATGAGTGCTTGGTTATGTATAAGTTACATTTACAGTGTCTTGTTACTCTTTTATCAGCCTTTCTTCTCAAATTTGCAAACATCTATTCACTGCAAAGCTACTGTGCACGGTAGATGAGCATAGTAATAATATAATTGTGCTACCCTTTTGATTGTTACACTTGAGATATAGTTTGAAAATATCATCCAGATTAAAAGTACTCCCTGTAAATAACTCCCTGTAACTAGTGAAAGCATGGATCAACAACATCGTGGATGCGCTAATTTTTCTTACTGTGGCCGAATAGAGAAAAACAAAATTTTGGATGGATCAACAACATCGTGGATGCGCTAATTTTTCTTACTGTGGCCGAATAGAGAAAAACAAAATTTTGGATGAGAATTTGTTCACTGTTGAAATAATTTTTCTTACTGTGGCCGAATAGAGAAAAACAAAATTTTGGATGAGAATTTGTTCACTGTTGAAAAAAAATTCATTGACTGGGATGAAGATAACCCTAAAATTGCCGCAGTTTGCTTGAAGACATATCACAAATTCTGCTCCTAACTTAAAAATTAAGACACTAACGACTAAGCTAAAAATAGTAAGGAAATTTACATCGTTCAATACATCTTAGTTCTGCTAGCACGCATTTTTATTTATACCAACCATATCAGAAAATAAGAATTAAAGCTTTAATATAATTTCACTGAATAAGAACCTGTGTACAGTCGATTCTATCAAGTTGTTTAATCAAAAGAAACACTCTTTTGACGGTATTAATTCTCGAAGGACTACTTAAATACCAAGTCAAATCAAATACAAGTAATTTAATTCCAGATTCAAATTAAAACAAAGACAAACGTAATATTAACACCAGAATAATCAATTTCTCTTGATTCTCCCCTTAAACCTTTAACCTTCAATTGCTAATTGTTTCAAAGCATATAGAGATAGCTCATGTAAGAGCTCCTACAAGCCTTGATTCATACATTTACAAAAACGAAAAGGGAAAAAAAAAACTTTAATAAATATCAAAAGATCACTAATCGGGTAAAATACTTCTATAGCTTCTCTGTGATCAATCAAACAGATCAAATAAATTATAAAAGTCTGTCATAGCACTGATCATACAACAAATCAAACTCTTTTTTCACGAATCTTTCTCTCAGGAGATGATCAAGAGAATGTTCGAACCTCTGCTATCTTCCCTGAACAAAACTATGCCCCGAATACAGCAACTTGCTTGAGCCTCTCAACTTTAGCACAAGCAACAGTATTGAACTCAGCCCGAATGATCCTTAATGACAATTGTTGCTCGTTTTGTTGGATGGCACTTCTTATTTATTTCCAACAGTGACCATCTCTATGTCGAGTCTCACATTAAGCTTGTCCGAAGTTTTGGCTCTTTGAGAAGGTGGTATCAGAGCCAATTCATGCAAATTCAGGAGCTCTAGCTTGCATGATGCCAAGTTAATGGTGTATAATTTGTACAGAGATGATGCTCAAGAGAACAGTCAGATGTTGAAAGGAAAAGCCTCAGTTGAAGAAATATGTTGAATCAATGACATCTTTGAGATTGAAGTCTCCCCGCTCTGGTAATGGCGGGAAATTTAACGTGGGAAAAGATTTCTGAAAGCTCTCCAATAACTGCAGAATGTACCAAACAAACAATCAGAACTGAAAGTTTTTTATTTTATTTTAAATCTACTAGTGAATCAGGCGTCGTCACTGACAGGTGCATTTTGTAAGAAACATAAAATTACTCCAAACATGCAAATGTTGGTAACATGATGCTAATTTATTTAGTATTGTAGAAGCATACCAAAATCTCAGAGCTCGTAAGCTGTTAATATAATGTCTACAAGCTTAATTCAAAAGAGAGGAGGTGCAGAACCATGAGCCTACAAGATTTACTGCAATTGCATCTAAACTTTTCTATTTTGAATGAAACCTCAAGGCTGAAAGCAATATTGTCTGAGAAAGACGAAACTGCAGCTGTTTTTATATTTGATTTATTAGGTTTTTTTAGCTTAACTTTGTGTTAATTTTACACCTTAAGTTGATTACTTCCAAATTTTCCTGCCCTTCTCCATGGCTTACTCTTCCCAATGAAGCAGTTTCTGATCATGTTCCTAGAGATGTAGATAATTGCGATCAACAAAGATCACAGTTGGATTGACAAGCAACTGTTGAAAACGGTTTTCCACTGCTTCGATGATGTCAATTTCTTTTCAAAAAATTTCTATTATTTTTCTTTGTTTATTTTTTTGGGTAAAATGCTAATAACCCGTAAGTTCATTTCTCCCTTGGCCTGGGAAAATATACTTACATTCTCCAAAATTGGTGTCTCGTAGAGCTCCACAAACTTTTCACGAAGTATAATGTTCATTTGATCAACATCACATGCATGTGTCCAATATGAGTCATGGACTCCTGCAGTTCAGAAATAAAACGATTCAGTCCTCAGTAAATCATAATTTGGGAGATGTTTTTCCACGAAAGCTCAAGCAACCTGCAAAATTCAATCCTGCCCTTTTGCAAGCAACTGCAGTCATCATCATATGAGAACTATCAAGAGAGTGGACAAAATTAGGTGGAAAAGCTGTTCTCTGCCGCTTAACCAGAACCTACAAAGAAAATGATAGGTTGAAATGAAACTTGAAAGTTCTATAGTTCAGTTCAAGACTAGTTTAATTGAGATTTAAAACTGCAAAAGTTCAGTGACCACCTAAAAGTAACCATGGATGTTAGAAAGATAATAGTAGTATAGAAGTGGTAAAAGGGAGAAGTGATCAACCTTATCTGTTTCCCGTTGCAAGGTCAAAACTTGAAGAGAAGTCTTAATCTGCAAAGCAAATTCACCAATTTATTAGTATGTGTGTATGTATGAAGCCAAGACTTGAAACCCAGTTCTTATCTCCACGTGAATTGGGCAACATCATACTAGTGTATGAGTGAATCAATGTGAGTGGGCTCATGATCAAGCTTGAGTACGTCTGTGTAATTTTTGGAGGGGGAGGGAAGGAGCAATAACTATTAAAATAATAGCAAAGCCAGTAACCCTCTGAACCTTTTTGCTTCCACCAGAATTGAGACAGATAAACAATAGACTTTGAAAAACAATAAAAAGAAACTGCAAACTTTAATGAGTACATACAAGATGTCTTCCAAGTTTGCGGTATGGTTGGACAACAGGTAGCCCGAGAGGAGTTGTCCACCTAACTGGTTGATTCTCTGAAGCAATTATCTACAAAGACAGACATGGCTCGAAATCAGTGGGGGCCTATCTGATTATAAATTTCAGGTGTTTTGTGCAAACCATACATTTTTTTTTGAGGGCGGGGGGTTGGGGGGACTGGTGTTGTCCTCAAATTAACTATGAGATAAACAAATGAATTATGCATAAAGTACAAAATAACTACCAATAAGATGAAATTTTCAATATTTGAATATAAAATCAGAAAAATAAATGAACCGTGTTAAAGTAACATGAATTTTTAAAATTAATGAAAACACAATGCATACAATTTTATTGTAGAATTTCTATTCATTGAAATATTATTTTATAATTTAAAATTCATTTAAACCTTTTTTTTTGGGATATTAGTCCCTTGAATCTTTAATATTTTGAAATTAGCCATTCAAATCATTGGAATTGCTATTATGTCCCCACAGGTCTTATATCTTAATCTTACACTTAAATATCCAATGTTATAAGAAACAGGGGACCTAATGGCAATTTCACAATTGGAGTGACTAATTTTGAAAGAACCTATAAAAATGGGTAAATTTACACTTAAATACCCTATTGTTTACCCAATGTTGCACATAAATGCCTTCAGTTGTAAATGGCTTCACTTAAATACCCTAAAGTTTCTAAAAGGAAATTCTCATGCAAGCACTGACATCCTATTTTTAGAATATTTAACCCTTATTTTTGGTTAAATCTATTGTTAACTTATCAAAATCCCATTTTAAACCTACCCCAATTCTATCTTAAAATAAAATTTGATAGGTTTAACAGTACATTTAAAAAATAGTAAGCGTTAAGATGTTCTGAAATTAGTGTGCGAGTGTCAGAGAATTTTTGGAGGAACCTAAATGTGCGTGTCACAGAGAATTTTTGGAGGAAACTTCTCATGTTTGCACAACCGAGGGTACTAAAGTGCAACTTTTAGAAACTTTAGGGTATTTAGTGAAGAGTTTTACAACTGAGGATATTTATGTGCACATCGGGTGAACAATAGGGTATTTAAGCATAATTTACCCCATAAGAATTGGTGGACCTAATAGCAAATTGAGGGAGTAATTTCAAAATATTAAAGATTTAAGGGTCTAAAATATAAAAACACATCTTCACAACTACTGCAGCAATTTAAGCTTGAAAACTTGACGGAAACTGATGCATGAACTATTTCATTATACAATATTGAATCAAAATTTAACCAAAACTTCATCATGTAGAAACATTCTACGACTAAGTGTTTTTATTACCTTTTAAATCTGTAGTAAATTTTTATGTTATTTTTAAGCTATCTAATACCAAATTCCAATGCTCCTGATCTGAAAAAACTGAACTGCCTGCCAATACTGAGACAAGAAGACAGATCTACCTTTCTAGTATGCAGGGGAGCATGAACGTACATTAATACATATGACTTTAAGGGTAATTTGAAACGAAAAAAAAAAAGTTTGAACAATTTTTTAACCATAATATCCGCTTTTGGATTTATATTTGCTCTATATTCATTTAATTGACCGGGAAAATTCAATGCATATGAAGCTATGCACAAGTCCTGGAGCAAACAAACCGTCGAACAGTGAAAAATCTTCTTCCTGATAGTTAGAAATAGACTATAGTATACATGTACAAAGGCATCAACTAGTCAACAGACAGGCATATGTAAAGAATAGATTTTCATAATATCATTAGCAGAAGTAATTCTTGTGATTGATGCAATCCTCCTACACACCTTTGCACAATCCCCTAGCCAGTTCATGATATTCCGTGCCGCTTGAAACATTTGTTCAAGTGCAATCAAGGTCGTCTGTTCATGAAAGATAAATTAATCAAATCTGGTGTCCTCCAAATTGAAAACTAATTGAATCAATAGGACACAGCTTATAAAGGTCAGATAAGTGCCAAGAAGCACTTACTTTTGCCGCGTAACAAGAAGCACTAAATAGTTCAGCTTCATCTGCAATAGCACCTCGTTCCTTCAGCCTTCTTTTTATTTGCTCACGTGCACCAACATAAGTGACGCCGTAAACAGATGTCATGACAGTTTGCTTCACCAATTTTCTATCAACCTAGATACAAGTCAAGCAACAGTTGAAAGGACAGGTGATATTTATTCTACTGTTCTATGGAAAAAGAGTTCTATAGTACATTTATATCCAGAGTGATGACTGATATTCCATATAGTCGTATTGGGCTTATCATATCGTTAACACACTGCCTTACGGAAAGCAGATAATGTTAAAGCCATGCATGTATTTGTCTCATATGTGTTCGCAAAAGAATTATGAGTATGAGATTAAACATTGGGCGTATTGGGCATATTTTTTAAGCGTATGTGATAATATCGATTCATAGTTTGAAAGATTTGTTTCTTTTTCCTTATCACCTCATTTTAAAAAGATTAGAGGAAAAAAGAGGGATCTCACGTGATCAACTAACAGTTTGGCGCGGAGAGCATCAGGTTCCTTGGCTGGGTCTTTGGCAGCATCCTGTTGCATGATATCAAGTACCCTGCATAGAATATAATGTCACCAGTGTTATTTACATAAGCTATTGTCATCATACACAAATAAGGATATGTTTATATCATAATGAAATAGAAAAAATTTTAAAAGAAAGAAGTGAATATTTATATTAGTTATAGTCATAAAATAGATCATGTTATTGAATTATTAAATAAACTACATTTAGAACATCCATTAAGTACACTTTGACATAATTACAACCAATTTGAGGAATTTTAGCAAGAATAAGATAATGAGTATATAAGGTCAAAATGCAGAGGGTTCTAGGGTACTCCCATGACAATACTGTACCCCCATGATCCCCAACCACATGTTAAAGAAGACACCTGAATCTGCATGAGAACTCCAGTCTTCTACAGTAGATAGTAGTTCAAGACAATAAAACTCCATATCAAAGTTTACAAGTTGAATTCATCCTAACAATGGGTTTTTCTGTACTTCTTGTTCACGACACTGGAAATAGGAATAGATGCCAGACGTTCCATACATGGATCAAAAAAGAGGAATGACAAAAGCTAGATACAAGCTGTATTAAGGTGGCAAAAACAATCAGTGAAAATAAAGACGTCAGTCTGTAGAGTCCCGCTCAAATTCTACATGTATACTCCGCAATGAGTAAAGTGATATCTTCTAGGAGAGCCTGTTCGTTTTTGTTCTGCTTTAATTTCCATCACATCTTGGGAGATAAGTTCATTCTCTATAAACAAATAAATTCATTCTCCATAAATAAATAAATCACTTATCGAGTTCATCCCTTCTTCCAGCATCTTTGCTATTTGCAGAGAAATTCAGAGTAAGACTGTAAGAGGGTGCTTGGAGGGGGCATATTTTTAGAAGCTTTTACGCTATGTTAGCTTTTGGTGGCTTGTAGCTTTTATGATAGAAGTTGTATTAAAATTGTTTAGGTAGAATACAGATTTATTTGCTCAAACCTAGGTTATTTAGGTGAGCTTATAAGCTAGTTTTCCAAATGTTGGGGAATACCAGTTTTTTAAAATAGGACTTATAAGCTAACTTATTTGGTATTTTACCAAACAAGTAGATATGAAAACACTAACTTAAAAGTTAGTTTGACCAAAAATAAGCCCCCCAAACGCCTCTAAATCTCTACTATGTTGCATCTGCTTAAACTGCATTGGCTTTCCTACCTTACAACTGCCTAGTAGGTTTTATGAGAAGGCTCTATCCAGCCTCTCCCACTAATTCCTCAGCCATGCATTTGGCACCAAAGGCGCATTAAGTAACAAAAAATCAATAAACAATGAAGCCCAAGATAGAGTACAGCTCATAGACAATCCAGCTTGATGTGCACTGAGGTAGATGGTGCTCATTATTGAGAATAATCAATCAATCAATCAACAAAGGCAACAAAAAGAACATGAGGCAAGGTTGATGGACTCTTGGAAAGTGAAAAAAAAAAGAAATTTTTTTGGATCGGTTCACTGAAAGAAATCTCAAACCCAAGAATTGCAAAAGAGAAGCTCTTAACTATGGGACAGAATAAAACTTTAGAACAGCAAAACAGATTACATTTGCCACTGAATATAAAATGACAAGGATCTGATTCTAATTGTGTTTTTCACAGTTATCTCAAAGTTTTTGTTCATCTTTGATCTTTCCATGTATTCTTTTATCATTTTATCCAACAAGAATAATTCTTTCACACATGATGTGAACAATTACTTCAAATGCCAGAAAGATTGGAGAACACTTCATGCATAAATAAGCATACAAATTATGTCTATTTTATTTGCAGAACTTCGCACGCAATGAAGAATTAAGTTCAGCAATGCTAGTTGAAGTCATGAACACAAGGATGATGACACAACTTAACATTTGGACCTGAGGAAGCAGCTTGCAAAGAAAGATTTCATTGGCAATAGCTTAAAGCACTTATAAGAATCAGAGACTCGTGAACAACTAACAAACAGATTATTTAATATAAATTATAAAAAATAATGCAGTGGCATGAAGATTTTAAAAAGAAACAATCCAGTACAAGGGTTTTCTTACTCCCCAAAGTGAACACCATACCTGGCAGCTATTCCTGAGTAAACATCTGCAGGTTTCTCTCCAGTAACTAAGTTCACTGCAACAGCCCCTAACTAGACAACAGACAAAATAAATTAATACGTCATTCTATAATCATCTTTGACCCACTTAATACCATTAGAAGTTGAAAGGGCATATTAAGGAGAATACTATTGTGTAAGATCATAGAATAGCAAATTTGCAAGATAGAAAAACTTATGCTTGTTGAAGATGCAAAATAAAGTTAGTACCAGAATATCCTTTATGCAATCACCTGTCCAAAAATGGAGTAATAGCTAATTTGAAGAATCATCGGCATCCCTTGCAAAGTTGCAAAGTTATTAGGGAAGCACTTAGATAGTGACAACCATTCTAATAAACTACAATTAATCCAATCATGCCAATGCAATTAAAAAAGGCAACGAAATATGGAATTAAAAATTTTCACCATGAAGGTTTGCATTCAGTCTAAATTATTCAAAATAATAGTAGAATCTCTTTGGCTTCCCATGAGCGGTAGATCAATTGGCCAAACAAGATAAATCAAGCATCCTTGGTACATTTTAGCGTTCGTTTGATTGTCTCTAGTGTGACTGATTGTAAGATGATCCTTAAGTTTCTGTTGCACTCCTGACTTTACAACAAACTTGATGTAGTTTCCAATGGCAAAAGCTCTAACCTAAAACTAAATTACTAATGTAGTGCTACACTACTTAATTTAAGTCTTTTAACTATTAGAACTACTAATAAACATCCCAAACTACCCCATCCAAACCACATCCCCTCCCATGTCCAACAGAATTGTTTGGCTGCTCTTTTATTCCAGAAAGGAAAGAGAGAAAGGAACCAAAATACTTCATGTTTGACATCACAAAGTTCTAAATTTGGGACCCCATCTTCAACCACAGGGGTTAAATCTCCATACTTATAGTTTTTGAGTTCGGAATAAGGCTTTAGGAGGAAAAAGATGGGGGCGATTTGGTTTTTTCCCTTCTCAACCAGTTTAGCTCATTAAAAGATTAAAGAGCAACTGGCACTGAAAGTTTAGGGAGTTCAACTGCCATTTCAAGTTAGAGAGGCATTTGAACAACTAGTTGATAGCTGGAGGGGGCATTAGTAATTTGTCCAAACAGATAAGTTGCAACAGTTCTTTAAGAAGACAAAACCTAGAAAAGGTGGGGAAAAGATAATACATGTTGGAAATAAGTGTAGCAATTTCCTCCATTAATTTTCGATAGAACTATGCCTTCTCCGTTGTAGATAATCACTCTCGCTGATTAATAATTTATAGATCGATGGTAACACCACGGAAATACTATGCAAAAGAGCAAATAAACATAAATATGGGCGAAAGGCAGTCTACCTGGTCTCTTCCTAGAGCTGCATAATGCTGAAGACCATTACAAGAACCATCCTGAAAGAATTAAACTTCACATGTTAAACATTGCCCATAGGCAGCATAAGGAGACAAACATATAGGTGACATGCAACTTTAATGAAACCAAACTCGTATAAGAACTGGTTTTTCGAAAATTATTAAATGAAATTGTTATCTTTCTTAAGAGTTAGAAGCAAATAAAACGATGCCACGTCTAATTAACTGGTCTAAACAGAGTCTAATGAGAATATAGTCTGATATATCGTGCGTTTGGGGTGTGTGTGTATGTGTGTGTGTGTGTGTGTGTCAGCTATTCAGTATAAGGCCAAATGAGATATTGCGCCTGGTCATCAAACTAGCATCAAAACTTCGAAACACACCAATATTTTGAAATTAAGCAACCCGCAGTCAAAATGGACACCCTAAAAGGAATTGGAAACTATAAACGATATTTTCAAGTAACAAGCAACAAAGGAAAATTTTAGAACCTTGGTAACATACATTCAAGATATTCAGGATCTGGACAACTGTTTCCTCTTCAACAAAGCATTGTGGCACAAGGATATACAATGATACCAGTGATTCAAAAATGCAAACAATGAAAAGAGTAAGCTTACAATATTACTTGCTATTTGTGTACCGATACACCAAATAAAAAAAACTGCTGTTTACATGCTATATTTACTATTTTACTTCTGTAAAAAGGATCTCGAGTGATTAACAACCTTATTTAAAGGACGGGTTGCTAGTTTGTGCAAGTTGGTCAAGCAGCTTGTTTGGTGGTAGGTTCCCACACTCCTAGCAGACACATAGAAGACTCAAGGGAGAGTGATATGCCAGCACACGAACCCATGTATTCATAAGCAAGACTAAGATATGTACAATATGCAAAGTTTTTTATTTTTCTAAATCTCTGTCAAAAGTACAGACTTTGTTATCATCAACTCCAGCCAGAGCCATTTTGCTTTTCCATTTTGTCCAACTTAAGTGGGATGCTCCAACTTCATTTTCTTAATGTATGTAATTATTTCTATGGAAGTTCAGGATGTAAATAAAATATGCATCTGCACTTCAACTCCTCAAGTACCCAACTTCGATGGTTATCAGTCTAATGCTTTCTGCCCCCACACCCAACACCCACTTCCTAGCTCTTTTCCTCTTTTACACATACATGTTTCTCTCTTCCTGAGGAATCATTAGGCAAGGATGCTACTTTTTTCCTTCAGCAGATGATCATAGGGAGAAAATCCTTCTTTAAATGGCATAAGTTTTTCCCTTTTCTTCCCCTTTTTGGCTTCAATCTACACGTTCCTTCAATTTATACATCTTGTTCTTTCTTATTTTCTTTGGTTAGTGTGTAAGCACAATCGCAGTTGGTCAGGTTGAGGTGGAGTACTGGGGATCAACAATGGAAATTCCAGCAATTACAGAAGTTTACGATCATACACAGAATGTTCTTGTAGATGACATATGAAAGCAGAATAGAAGACAATGCAGAGCATGCAAATCAAAGGTCAGAAGACAAGTTATCGACCGTATTTTCGCAAACAATTAGGTGTCGATAAAAATTATCATTGATGGAAATACGTTCAAAGCGAATCCCTTCTAAACAATATTGAACATTGGACCTGCAAGTCCTTTTGTGTTGTCCATTTATCTCATCTAACATAAATACAAGTGTAAATCAGAAAAATAACCACATAATTCTTTATTTAGCCATTTCCTTTCTTCTTCTGGTGTGTGACTTCCTAAGAAGATTAGGCTATGACCACTGTTTTAAATATCGGCCGATAACCGATATTATCGGCCGAGTTATCGGATTTGGGAGCTCTCCGATAGGATAACTTGGATTTTTAATCGGTTATCGTTTTTGGCAAGTTATCGGGGAGTTATCGGCATTATCGGTACTTATCGGCCGATAAGTAAGGTTTTTTTATCGGGATTATCGGCCGATAAGTAAGACTATGCAATCGAATGGTTTCATTGTGCGGTCAAAATGTAAGTTTTGCTTTTTACAATTGGTTAGTGATTTTAAACATGATGATTTACATTTTGGTATGTTTATATGTCATTATGCATGGTTAGATTACATTTTTCAGTTATTATATTATATATATACACCATTCTGTATATCACTCCGATAAATACTACTTATCCCCGATATATCCCCGATTTCCTCTATCCGATAAGGATTTTGGCCGTCCGATAAATCCCCGATAACCGATATTTAAAACCTTGGCTATGACAACTGCTGAACTGTTAATTATTTGTTAACAGGCATCTGGAGCAAGATGAAAACAGTTGCAAGATGCAATCGGATCCACCTGGATGGTGAAGTTGCTATCAGATGCAATTATATCATCATGCAAAGGCAGTTAACTGTTCAAGGCATAAAAATGATATTATGTGAAAGATAAGGAAATAAATGTTTGTATTAAGATATCATCTTAGAACTAGCAGCAAGAAACAAAACATGCTTCGAAATCTCATACAAAAGCACACACATTAGAAGCCTGTTATACCATCAAAAAGAAGTGAAGAAGACAAATAACTCATGTATCTAAGCACACCTGATGCACAGGCACATGTGAGATTGTAGTCTCTGGTGAGGAGCTCCTCAGTGCTTCAGCAAGATTGATGCAAACTGCCAAGCACTGGAAAGGATCTTCAGCACCTAACCACCACCGTCTGCCTTCGAGTGGTCGATCTGCCGAGTCAAATATATCCTCCACGTGATTCTCGGTAAATGCTATCCTTCCATCATATGATAATTTATCAACTCCACCACCATAGAGACCTGCCAAATGTATCTTCAACCAGCGCAAACCTGATTTTCCTAATGGACGACCTTCTGCAAACTCTAAAACGCCACGACACAAATCTGACCCAAGATGATTTAAATATGGGTGCATGGGATATGCACGACCTCTAAAGTCCAGGTTGTGTGGATAGTAGAAGCCCTCTTCATCTTTCATTTTTCTAGCTACCTGTTCACCAATGAACATGAAGAACAAATTTAAGTCAAATGGCAGTATTAATTGAACACTAGCTATAATATAGACAATACAATTTCTTACAGCAAGTTTAAGTTCCACGTCACACCGCTGGGAGTGTCTTTCACTATTCTCCTTCTTTGCAGATCTTAATTTCCATTTCCACTTCTTAATTTTTGATTCATCTTCGGTGTCAGGCTTCTCTGGGAGAGGAATCTGCAATATCAATGAATGAAAAATGAACATAGATGAGTCCAATAGCCAGCCAGAACTATATCAATAGGGGATTCATTAAAATGTACTCAGACTTGGCAAGACTTCTCACATCATCTCGATCGACCAGGTCAGCAAGACGACCACCACTGGACCATATTCTGTCAACAATACTCAGGACCCTTTTGTTAATCCTCCATCTGGTACTACCTACTGCATCTAGTGCCTGCAGAACACGAAATGAAGTCAACAATAATAAGTCTGCAGACAGCAAGCAAGCATATCTCTAAGTGAGAAATTTGACCATAATTACTAGTTAGTATAAATAGTCACCTTTTAAAGGGTAAATTTCAGGAAAAAAACCCTGAACTTTGGGTGAGTTGCACAGAAGAAAAAAAAACCCTAAACTTTGGCCAGTTTTACAGAACCACCCTGAACTTTGGAAAAGTTTCACAAATTGAAACTGTCATATTTAAAAAAAAATAAACCCCTTACTCAGTATTCAGAAAAACCTAAGTTGCACGGGTACGGGTGCGGGTGCGGGACATGGCGAATTTGTAAAAGGTAGAGTACAGGGACACTGATGAAATTCATGAGATATAATCATATTTCTGAGCTATATATGTAAATGACCCTTACCTTTTTAAATCATAGTTCTTAAGGCTGAAACGAGCTCAACCTTTATCCAACAAGTTACAAAAATGGATGTGAAGTGTAGGACATATATCAAATAAGTGTATGTTTTAAATTAAACATGCATTGCATACTTGAGTACTGGTTTGAATTTATATATGCATATATTTAAGGAGTGTCAAAGGAGTGTTAGGTATGGGTACGGGTACGACACATGTCAGGTACAGATACGACCTGTGTCGGATACAGGTACGAATCTGTATTAGTAGTACACGGGTAAGATAGAGTAAAACCATTAAAAAAACTCTCCGCAACACCCTTATTTTTTCATGGCTCCCTCTATACTGTACACACTGACAAATTCCGGGACAAACTAGCCTCAATGTTCAAGTGGAACTTTTGAAAGTTCACGGGTTTGTGAAGCTCCCCAAAATATAGGGTTCTCTTATTTTTACTTTTTTTGCAAGTCACCCCAAAGTCCATGTGTGTGTGTGTGTGCGTGTGCGCATGGGTGAGTGGGTGAGTGAGAGAGAGAGAGTGTGTGTGTGTGTGTGTGTGTAAAATGTACTTTTTTAAAAATTAAAATGAAGGACTAGATCCCACAGAATTAGAATATCACTAGCTGAACTAAATTAAGGATTCCACATATATTTACAATAGCAGGCTTTAGAATACCACTCAGGCACGTGAACATGTGCATTTACTAAGTAGTTAACTTTGTTTGACAATAAAATACACATTGAAACAACAAACATACAAATCTGAAGCTTTAAAGAAATCAGGTGAAAATTGATATGACTCTTTTTTCGTGGGGTTAGGGGAGG